CTGGAAACTGCTCCCAAGATCACCCTGGGTGATCTCCCAGAAAGAGACACTTGCTTCCACAACCCAACTTATAAGTAAGACAACTCCCTGTTCACCAAAAATTGTGCTTCCCGGGTTCCACTTTGAATTCCTTGCCTAAATCTCCAAACTGTCAATAACTCTGAACTATGTAACCTACTATTTTGATGGAGTAAAGGGAAAAAAACACCTGGACTTATTAAAAGGCCAGGCCCCACTGATTTATCAACATAGACTGGCTTCCCCCATTTTAGTTCCCCTCCTAACTGGTTTGGGAATAGCTGGATCTACTGCTTTAGGAACTACAGGTCTTATCACAAGCTCTAAAAATTTTAAGTCCCTCAGCCATCAAATAAATATAGATTTAGGAAAACTAGAAAGGTCAATCTCCAAACTAGAGGTTTCACTAGACTCTCTGACAGAAATAGTCTTACAAAACAGATGAGGTCTAGATGGTCTCTTTCTGAAACAAGGAGGACTTTGTATGGCTCCAGGAGAAACTTGTTTCTATGCAAACCATTCTGGGATAATAAAGGACAGTTTGGCGCTTGTGAGAAACAGGTTAAAGGAAAAAGATGAAGCACTAGAAACTTCAGGCAATTGGTTCCAAAACCTATTCTCATGGTCCCCTTGGTTAACTACCATCATTTCAGCCATAGTTAGGCCCCTAGTCCTTCTCCTGATTGGTATTACTGTAGGACCCTGCCTCTTACAAAAGAATGTAGATGAGGTCAGACTTATGGTCTTGCAAGCCCAGTATAGTCCTTTAGACACAGAAGGATGGAAAAAAATCTGAGGCCTAATGATGTGCAAGATTGACATCAAACCTACTAAAACCAGTGGGGAATGTGATAGTAGGAGCAAATGTGACTCCATTTTGTTTTATGACTTCATCCTGTAAAACAACCATGCCAAGTAGAGGAGTCATGACTGGAGCAAGATGTTCTTTTCCTTTTGCTATAGAAACCTTTAAGAACACGGAGCTACCTAATGGGATATTGTTTCTGTAACTAGGGTAATGGGGCTCTGTTTCTGTAACTGGGGTGACTGGGCTAACTGATTGGTTAGGCTTCCCTCCACTTGACTGCATTGTCCCGCTTCTGTAACCTGGCTTGCTTGCATTGGCTAGACCCCCTGAACATCCCTTTTGCGGTTTTCAGGCTTATAAGGAGTGCCCATGCAATTGTTCGGGGCTGATCAGGGGAACAGCTTTATGTTCTGGTCAGCCACCACTGGTGTGCTTCAATAAAGGCTTGATTCGATTATACGTGAGTGGTCTGGAAGTCAGTTCATGAAACCCTGGGACCAAGCTTTAACTATAACAACCCTTTTATTCGTATATTCGTTTCCTTTCACTACCACAGTAAAATCCTAGGGTTTATCTGCAAACTAGTTTATTACAACCTTCCTAAGTAATCTTCTTAACCTTGCTGATACCTGCAATGTGTGTCAAAAGCTTTCCTTTCCTCTCTGCATTGAGCTATAAAGCCCTACGCCAGATTTTCTCCTGCAGTTTACTTCTTCCCAACTTTCTTCATTTTTTAATTTTCTGATTCAAGCCCTCTCCTCAGTCACTTATTCACCACTTACTAAATGCTAAGTACTGTATACCAGGTTTACATAGGCCAGAAGAACATTGTCCCTATCCTTGAAGAGCTCACAGTCCATGGTCTGCTTCATAAATGGATCATTATAGTAATACAAAGAAAGTGTAATGTCAGAGACGCACAGTGTATTAATGAAGTCAGGAAACACCTAATGTAGCCTGGGAAATAGAGAGACCTCCTTAGAGAAGATGACTCTAAATTAACCATTATAGGTGAGCAGAGGGGACCAGATAAAAAGGGAAGAGCCTTCCAAGCATAGTGGACAACATGAGTAAAGGCACAGAGAACAGAAATAGTCTGTATTATGTAATTTGGTCTTGCTGGAGCAGAATGGGAGATAAAGCTGGAAAGTCCCTGTAGGGTTAGGCTACCACAGCCCTGTCTATGTAAATCTAGCAAGCTGAATGCCATATAGGCAACATGGAGCCAGTGCAGAGGTATTTAAGCTGGAGAACAAAACTGTTAGACTTGTAGTTTAGATAAATATTCTGTCTGATAATAAATCTGTAGGGACAAAAGAAAGGCACTGAGATCAGGCAGTAGGTTTTTCAGTGATTCAGATGCAAAGACTAGACATGAGCAATGAAGGAGAGATCAAAAAGAAAGACTGGGCTGGCCATGATGGGGCATGCCTATAATCTCCGCAATCTGGGATACTGAGGTGGGAGGATTACAAGTTTGAGACCAGACTCAACAAAACTTACTCAGATATTAACAAACAAACAAACAAACAATAACAACAACAACAATATAAACCCTCAAACAAAAACAAAACAAAAAACAACCACAACTGGGGATGTAGCTCAGTAGTAAAGTGCCCCTGGGTCTAAATCCCATTTCCCTACCCCACCCCACCCTAAAAGAAGAAAGATCAGATTCAAGAAAATAAAGAACATACATGGTCATGGAATTCAGGAATGAGGAGGTAGGAGCAATTTCTCACATGGTTGACTGGTGGGATGACAGTCAACAACAGGAGACAGAATAAATAAAAAGGACCAGAGGTACAACACCAAGGATAGAGCAGGTATAAACTATAGACTGTGGGTGAGAATGATGTGTTGGTGTAGGCCAATGGATAGAAACAGTGTATTATTCCAGTGTGGGGTATTACTAGTGGGAGAGACTGTTGGTGTGGAGTTTGTGTTTGTTCTCTCTCTCTTTTTGGTACTAGGAATTGAACCCAGGCAGGGTCCTGCATATGTTAGGTAAGCAATCTACCACTGAGTTACATCCTCAATCCCTCTAGTTTTTCTTAAAGGAGGCAAAAGTTTATGAGGCAGCTGGGCACAGTGGCTCATGCCTGTAATCCCAGTGGCTCGGGAGGCTGAGGCAGGAGGATTGCAAATTCAAAGTCAGCCTCAACAATTTAGGGAGGCCCTAAGCAATTTAGTGAGACCTTATCTCAAAATAAAAAACAAAAAGGGTTGGGGATGTGGCTCAGTGGTTAAGTTCCCCTGAATTAAAAAAAAAAAAAAAGTTTATGAGGCCGATAAAAGGAGAGATGCCTTTGCAGTGAGGAAAGGAGAGTAAAAGGCACAGAACCATGGATATGCACCTCTGGAATTATCAGTGGAAGGTTCCAGGTCAACCCTGGATAGGTTTATGTGGATTCTGGTGGTTCCATGGCAAGCAAAGCTTTTCTGGGTCATATTTCTTTGTTCCTGTCTTTGGAGTGCAGGTGTGCTCACCTTCTGGATATTCCTGATTGTTGTATAAATCAGATAGCTAGAATGTTCCTTTCGCCATGCAGACAAATGTATGCCTAACATTAACTAAATGTTCTATTTGTGACCCAAGTGTGTTCATGGGCCTGCACTGGCACACTGACATCTGAACCCCTACAGCAGCTTTTGGCTAGGGTTCTGGGTCAGAATTTTCTGGGGAGAAATCACTCCAGCTTGCTCTGTCCCACTCTGTTCTCACCAGGACCTTTTCTTTTTATTGGGGGGGGGAAGGGGTTATCAGAGATTGAACCTAGTGATTTGTACACACTAGGCGCTCTACCACTGAGGTACATCCTCTTTTTATTTTGAGACAGGGTCTTGCTAAATTGCCCCATGTTGGCCTCAAAATTATGATCCTCCTGCCTCTGCCTCCTGAGTAGCTGGGATAACTAACTTGTATCACTATGCCTGGCCTACAGCCCTTTCTAAAATTTTATTTTAAGACAGAGTCCAAACTGCCCAGGCTAGCCTAGAACTTGCTATCCTCCTGCCTCAGCCTCCTGGGAAGATGGGATAACAGGAGTGGGCCACTGCACCTGACCCCATCAGGGATTTTATTCTTGGTAAAAGTATGATTCAGTGGTACCTAGGTGTGTGTCTTCACAAGCTCTACAGGTGATGGGAGAACTTGTGCCTGTTAGGGTTTGAGTCTGTCTTGTATAGCACTTCCCAAATGCTGTGGTTTGAATGTGTTCCCCAAAAGTCCCTGTGTTAGAAACTTAATTCTCCAGTTCATATGTTAATGATATTTGGAAGTAGAATCTTTAGGAGGTAATTAGAATTAGATGAGGTCATGAGGATGGGACCCCCATGATGGCATTAGAAGAGAGACCTGAGAGCATACTCGCTCTATCTTAACCTGTGATGACCTCTACCATGTTATGATGGGGCAAAAAGTCCTCACCAGATGCCAACACCATGCTCTCGGAATTCCCAGCCTCCAGAATTATATGCAAATAAACTTTTATCACCTATAATCTACCCACTGTAGGCATTTTGTTTATAGCAACAAAATGGATATTGGGGATTCTTTTTTTTTTTTTTAAAGAGAGAGTGAGAGAGGGAGAGAGAGAGAGAATTTTTTTAATATTTATTTTTTAGTTATCGGCGGACACAACATCTTTGTTTGTATGTGGTGCTGAGGATCGAACCTGGGCCGCACGAATGCCAGGCGAGCACGCTACCGCTTGAGCCACATCCCCACGCCTATTGGGGATTCTTGATGGCACCAAAAGTTGTCTTTCATCATAGGCCATGGTTTTCTTCCTAACAATAATTAGTGATCTTACTGTTTATTTTTCTGTATAGAAATTACTACTACCTGACATCATGATCATCTATTTAGTTGTTTATTTAGTTATCCATTTCCCCCCTCTAGATTGTAAATGTCCTGAAGGGGAAGATTTTATTTGGTTCACTGTTGAATGCTCAATACCTAATACAGTGCCTGGAATATAACAGGCACTCACTCAGAGATACAACTATTGTTAAGTAAATCTAATTCTACTTACTAATGACTATTACTTAATAGGAAATGTTCCTCAGCTTGAAATGTAATGAGCCTCTTTTTATCTTTCAAATGTAAACAAACACCAAACACCAAATAGAAATGTATAAAACTATATAGCATGTATAAAAATCTACCTACCTTAGCATAGTTTAATCTTCCTTTTTCTTGAGCCTAAAATAGAAAATTAATTTGTTAGTTCTTTAAAAATTATTTAGTGTTTTATAACTTTTGTTTATCAAAGAATAAAAGTCAACTCTTTCTCCTTTCTCCACCTCCTCAATTCAGTGTATACATACGTTGATCATATACACACACATATTGAGTGATCTCTCCCTAATATGTGTATATCATATTATGTTCTAAATATATATGATATATATTATACATATATACATACACACATACATTTCAAACATAAAGCAAAGTTGCAAGAACAGTTCAAGGAGCACATAAGGACTCCATTAGGATTTGACAGGTGCAGACACCATAACTCTTTACCCCTACACGCTACAGCACATATCTTGTATGCACAGGACAGCTCATACATAATCACATGACCACTATCTGACTCAAAAACTAAAAAATGGTCATATCATCTAACATGTAATCCATATTCAAATTCCCTAATGGTTCCAGGAATATCTTTCGTATCTTTTCTCCCCACAAAACAGAATAAATCAAGATTGACCCATTAGATCTGTTTTATATGTCTCCTTTGGCCTTTTAAATTGGACTAGTGCCCCCCACCCCTTTTCATGAAATGAAAATAAAAGCCATTAACTTCTTTTCATGATTTTTTGAGGATACCAGGATAACTGTATTTAAAATTTCTCTTATTTTATCTTTGTTGTGTTATTCAACTTCCCTGTTTTGCTTGTAAACTGAATAGTTGGTTCTGGGGAAGCTTGCTCAGATCTAGGTTAAACATTTGTGGCAAGAACACTTTGTGGAATATTACATACTTCATCAGTTCAGATGGCAGAAAATGTCAGGTGGACCCACTCTTGGTACTGCTATTAATTTGACCATTTGGTTAACACAACTATCAGATCACTCCGTAGACAGATGTCCGAGTCGTATTCAATTTGTAAGTAATCTGTGGGGTCAATTGTTTCTCACATGTCTTGGTGTAATTTTTCTTACATTGCTGTGGGTTGAAAGATCCCCACCAATCCACCCACTCATACTAGGGATGAGGATAGGAAAGAAAAGAGGAGGTATTGGCTGGGGGTGTAGTTTAGTGCTTAGCATTTAGTTTTAGTGCATGAAGGCTTGGGTCTGACTGCCAGCCCCAGAGGCATGGGGGTAGGGTGAGGAAGGAGGTGAAAGAGATATTCTGTGGGAGGTCAAATTTGACTTAAGAATATTTCTAGTTGTTATTGAACAATACATACAAATGTGTAATATTTCAAATCTTAATAGAGACAACAATGTATTAACCTTTGCTGGCAGGTCAAATTGTGTTTTGCAGACTTCAGAATAAAACTTCTGTCACCTCTACACAGAACAAGAGCACTTCACCTTTATAAACAGGTTAGATATTAGAACCACTTTGTTCCTGAGTCCAAAATTACATTATCCCAGTAATTAAACTAGGCAGAATATCCCTTGACAGAAAAGGAAATGTTTATTACATTGTCTGATATTTCTTGCTTCTTTATAACCTTTTGAAAATTTATCCACAGATGCCTACATTGTTTTTCTTTTTTCAGAATAAGAAATTGCAGTTAGCCACTGCTCACCCACAGCTATTGGCACCATCACCAAACTCTCTGAAATTTTGATTTGAACATTTCAATGAGACAGAAAGTCTCAAAATCAATATATTATTTACAAAAGGGTTCAGAGTCATCAGTCTGCTCTTTAAAGATTTTTAGGGATATAGGGTTTCTAGTGGACTGAAAAGAGTCTGAACTTAGTACTGAGATGCATTACAACATAGGAAGGAATCCATTCTTACCAAAAATTTAAAACCAGGTTATTCTTTTCTGCTCAGATAGTTTCTATTTGTCTATTTGTATATGGGCATCGTTTCCCAGAATGAAGTTATTTTGCCTATACTGAAAATCTCCTCCCTCACCATGGTAACTTCTGAAGCCAGGAGTAGCCCAGAACATATCTGTAGGCCCTGCTTAGGACCTAGTCACTCACTTTGATATTGTGCAAACATGTACTAGCCTTGATCCTATGAATAATCCATGGATGGCTTGTGACCAAAATTCAGCAACAGCACTTCTGCAACATGCTTGGTCTTTAAGTCAGGCACTACTGAGGCTCTAGAGATATAGTCAAAAACAGAAGAGAAGAAATCCCTGTTCTCATGGAGCTTATATTCTAGAGTGTTGCATAATATTATTTTAATTATTTGCATTATTTTATATTTTAGATAGGCTTCAAAGAAATCTTTCTCTAGAACTTAAGCTTCATGAAAGCAGGAAAATTTTTTGTCTTATTCACACTATCTCATGTTGAGATCAGTATCTGAATGACTGAATGCCTAGATGAATGTCTTTTCTTCATATGTTTCACTTATGTAACTGTCTATTCAAGAAACTTATGAAGCAAAATTCATTTCACTCACACTACTCATAGGAAAACTAGACATTATGGTTTAAAGGGATGATACAGCTAATGTGGAGCCGTTAGCCAATACCTTACAAATAACTTTGCCCATATTGAATAAAGAATATTTTCTAAGCTTCCAACTATAGAAAATCACTTTGAATATTCTATGAAAAGTGAACAATGAAAGGACAAGACAGAGAAGAACAATTTAGCAACTTTAGCATAATTCAGTGCTTGCTCTGGGACAGCCCCGAGATGCAATAAGAAGGGCCTAGAATGGAAGTCAGGAAACCTCCAGGAGGACTTCAGGATGTACCCCTCCAAGCCTCAGGCAGTAAGGCCTTGTCTTCTGAGAAAAGTAAGTGCCTAAGATCTTAATTGTGACCACTCCAAGAGGCACTGTGACCTCCATGGAAGAGGAACATGGTAGGGGCCAGAAGATACATTTTCTAGGCCTTAATTGGATTAATTTTTTTTTGGTGTGTGTGTGGTGCTGGGAATTGAACCCAGGGCCTTGTGCACATGAGGCAAGCACTCTACCAACAGAGCTAAATCCCCAGCCCTTTAAATTTTTTTTTTTTTTTTTTTTAAACGGGTCTGCATTTCTTTGTTTATAAAGTAAGAGTTCCAGATCAGACCAGAAGTTCCCAAGTGCTGGGCTCTCTCCACACTGGACTAGCTGTCTTGGAATCACCTGGGCAGTTTGTGAAAAATGCAGATTCCCAAACTCCTATCCATGGGATTCTGACTTGTTTGAGGATCATTGGTCTGGTCACTATCTAATGTCCTTTCCAACTTACATTTCTATATGCATCAGTGTTGACTTCAAAGGCTAAAAGAGAACAACTATATAAACTCCTTAAGTGTCAAGGAGAATGCAGTACTGTAACTCCCCCACCCCCTTTCTGACATCTGCCACTTATCATGTATATTTCTAGCAGAGCAAGATAGTATTAAAATAACTTTCTTACTGGGACCCAAAATAGGCTGATATAAAATAAATGCAGACTGTATTCCAACAGCAGCAGCCCTGTACCTCTTCCTGCTACACAGTTCGTCTCCAGAAACCACTGTAAATTCTACCGTACACGGTAATTCCCCGAGGGCTTCATTACGAAGGTCTTTAAAAGGGATTCACTCGTCTCTTTGCCTCCTGTAGGTGTGCTTCTCGTCAATCCAGGTCATGAGAAAAGAAAGTAAATTTTCCCAGTCTTTAGCAGTTCACAGAGAATGTGTGGTTTGAACCTTGTTTTATCTTTAAAAAAATGTGCGAAGAGACAAGGGAGCATGCCAGTGCTATGACACTGGAGGCCTCTTCAGACAGCCATGGCGAGCGCTGTAAAACAATGTTCCCTACAAAAGCAAAAAAGGGCCAGCACTCTGATTGAGAGGATACACAAAGGGATTAATTCCAAAGGTTTATATGCCGGGCTCTGCAGACCAAAAGCAGACAGATTCCCTGTTGGTAAGTAATGGATGTACAATGTGGTCTTTTACTTTAAGAAACAAATGCTTTTTTATAAGTCAGGTAACAAAGAAGGATTGGATGACATAAATGAACTGTTTCCAATTTCCAACTACTATTATCTGGACTTGAAAGTTGGATATGAGGACACCTTTTTCTAAATGCAGAAAACTAATATTCGAACAGCCGGGAGTCCGGAAATTGCTAGAGGCTGATCATTTCTACTTATTAGGTTATTCTTCCCAAATGTTACCAGCTAAATTTTGGATTAAGTCACTTTTAAGGATTTTCTTTTTAAACCTCCAAGGCAAACTACTTCCCTTCCCCCAACTTTTTAGTTAAAAGAATAAAATGAACACCCATTTGCCCTCCACCTAGGTTTACTGGTTGCTAACATTTTATCATCCATCTCTCTTTAGATAGGACAATTTGTTATTTAAGAGTAAATTGAAGGGCTGGGGATGTGGCTCAAGCGGTAGCGTGCTCGCCTGGCATGCGTGCAGCCCGGGTTCGATCCTCGGCACCACATACAAATAAAGATGTTGTGTCCGCCGAAAACTAAAAAGTTATTAAAAAAAAAAAAATAAGAGTAAATTGAAGACATCATCATGATCATCCCTAAATACTCTATGAGAACAAGATATGCTCCTACATAATGATGTCAACAAGCCCATTCTCACATCTGACAAGTTTGCCCTTTATCATAATATTATTTGAAATGCAATTCATATTCACATTTCTAAATTGAACCAATAGGGGTTAGGGTTGTGGCTCAGTGGTAGAGTACTTGCCTAGCATGAGGCACTGTGTTCCATCTCCGGCACCACATAAAAATAAACAAATAAAATAAAGGTATTGTGTCCATCTACAACAACAACAACAACAAAAATATTAAAAAATAAATAAATTGAACCAATAGTGTCCTGTGGAACTGTTCTGATCCCAAATGAAGACTGAATTAAAAATCATACATTGCCTCTGGATATCATCTTTTTAACCCTTTCTATTCTAGAATAGCCCTCATACCATTACCTTTTTGTCTTTCATAATGCTGACATTTTTAGAAGGAGTCCAGGTCAGTTGTCTTTTTTTTCCCTGATGAGATTCAGGTTAAATATTTTTGGAAAGACAACTACACAGG